CTGTCTCCCTCTTTCCTGGAATGCAGAAGGTTAGGGACATTGCTGGGAGCAGGGAGGCCCAGATGGGGGAAGCCCCTGCGTGGGAGCCCTTTGAGAAGTCTGGGTGGAAAGAATTCACACAGGGTCCAGTCTTGTCAGGCAGGTCTGGCTGCTACAGGACACAACCAACCAAGAACTGTTGGTTCAGTTCTTAACTAGCCAAGCCCCGGTGAGACTCCTTCTCCTCCCTCCGTGCCATTTCTTGAAGTGGGATGGGTAACACATACAGTCTTACGGGATCTGAGTCTGGCTTTGGCTGTGTGACTCGGCCTCAAACACGCTGAGCTAATCTGAGCAGGGCTCATTCCTGGACCTGGAGCAAAACTGCTATTTCTCAGAGCCTGTGCTTGGCCTGCCTCCCCTGTAAATAATTTTCTCACCTCAAATCCTTCCTGGCACGAATGGAGCATTTAAATAAGTTAAAGTCACGGTTAGCTGTGCCTGAGGCTGGACTATGGAGATCTTGCTTTCTCAGATCTTAGTGGGCAGCTGGGTCCTGGTTTAGAAAAACTGCTCAGGCCGAGGCAAATGCCTTCAGGCCAACAGCCCTGCTTCCACGCACACCTGCTTTTACCACCTCAAACGGGACAGACTGGTGGCCTCATCCACCGATTGAACCGGCAGGGGCTCAGAATCCTTGTTAGGGTGTAAGTGCCCTTTGTGGAGAGGACCAGTCAGTCCTACCTAAGTTCTATAGGCAGCTCCACCTCTCTGCATCACTCAGACCTCAGGAGGCCAAAATCTCTGTACTCCTTTGAGCCTAGGGGGCAGTCTGGCCTGAACCAGCTGGATTCCAGAGGCCCACACACTTCCCTCTTGCTTGTACCTTTGTGTGGGGTGCTGGTTTTACATATCCATGGCGGTGAGAGGGTGCAGGGAGCCATGTGTCCAGCTCTGAGCCTTGAACATGGTGTTCATTTCTGCAGCTGATGGTCAGTGGAGTGGTTTCCTCAGGGGCAGGGAATATTTGGCCAGGCTTGAATTAACTTCTGCTTTGCTGAGCCCCACCCCAGCACCACATTAATTCCGGAGACAACCTGGAGTGGGGATGGAGGAGGAGGCAGGGAGCATGGTACTGGGCACTGATTGAGAAACTGAGCCTGGTTAAGGTAGCACCAAGGCCACCAGCCAGGTCACAGTCCACAGCCGGTCTTCAAGGGATGGAGACATCGGTGTCTTGCTGAGTCTAACCACAGACCACAAACCGACCGCTCTTTCTTTCTCAGTAGCTAGTACCAGTCCTGGCTGTGGGACCCCTCTGGCTTAAGGTCTCCACATGACTGTCCTATGCTGTCAACACAGATTCAGGCCCTCACGAAGTTTAGCCTCCTCAGGGTGAGGACTAGCCCCAGGGTCTCAGGCTGCCAAGCTGGACAAACAAGACAGCAGAGATGCAGTTCAGCGTGGCTGAGTAAACAGTGAGAAGGCAGGGGAGAGAGGAAGGTCATACTTCTCACCCGGGAGCTCCAGGGCAGCCCCTGCTGTCCTCAGCTAGTTCTCTTGGGAGTAAAACTCCTCCCCGTTCCCCACTGCTTTGCAGCAGTCAGGTCCAAAGTCCCACCCAAGAGAAAAAGCACATGACCTCAGCTTATATAATCTCCTTGTCACTGAACAGCTGGAACCCAAGGTTGAGTCAGCAGCCCCAGTGGCAAAAAGAACCCTGGTAATCTAGGTTCCCCGGCTGTGTGCTCCTAGCAACAGGTCCCAGAGCAGAGAGCAAGGCTGTGGAAGAGGCTGTGTTGAGGGTAACAGGCTACACCAGGCTCTGAGCCTCAGTCTCAGACTCTGAGCCATCAGTCTCTGGCTCTGTACCTGAGCAGCAGGTGCCCGGTCTGGTGACTGCTCTGGAGGGCCCTGGGCCAACCCAGCTCTTCCTGGGGAGGCGACAGGGTGGCCTGGGCAGGGCAAGGCAAGGGGAGGGCAGGGCTGAGGCCGGAGGGCAGAATGCCAGGGCCGGGGAGGGAGCAGCTGGAGTGGGTGGAGCGGAGGAGGATTAGGATGGATTGTAGGGTTAAAGCGCAGCCCTGGCAGGGCTCAGTGGGAACAGCCTGTCCTTCCATAGGCCCGAGGGAACAGGAGAGGTGGGGTGGAGGGGGGACAGGACCGGTTTGGGTGTTTGAGCCTACAGCTCTCTGCAGGGCCAACCCACCGGGCCTGGCTTGGAGTCCCCATTGTGGGTGGTGGAAGTTCTCTCTTTTTTTTTCTTACCAGTTCTGAACTAACACACCCCGCTCTTCTCCAGTCTCTCTGCCTTAAAACAGAAGGTGAAGCTTGGGGCAGCCCTCACTGTCCTAGGCTGAGCTGCACTGGTGTGCGGACTGGCATTTTGTTGGTATTTAAGCAAGCCGGGTGGGGAGGGGGGTTCCGGAATTCATGTGTCCTCCCCTCCCCCCACCAGTTCTTTAACTCCTGCTCAGCTGCATCTGTGATATTCCAAGTTCACGTGGGCTGTTGTATTAATGAGGGGAATGAGTCTGGTTGGAACTGTTCTACTCCCCGGTTGGGTCTGCTTTTGACCTTCCTCTGTGAGTGCCAACTGTAGTTCAAGTCAGCTACCCTGAGAGCCCAGGGCCAGGGCTGCCCCAGGGTGGGGGCCCAGGGGAGTCAGATCACACTGGATGTGCTTTCTCACCTTTGTTCTTCCCCACGGTGGTCCCCTCCCCACTCCATTCAGCTGCCAAATGCCCCTTTTCCATCATCTCCTTTGCCCCCCTAAGTTTAAGCTCTCCTGCAGCATTTTACAGGTTTCAGATTCCTCCACATCCATTATTTGCTTTGAGCCTCATGACATCCCTGTGAGGTGGGCAGGGCAGGCATGACCACTCCCTTTTATGGATGAGGAAACAGCTCAGATGAGAGGTGTCCAAGGTTAAAGAGGCAAACTGTCCTTCCAGCGGTCATAGCAGCCCATCGCGGCCTCAGGTGACTTCTCCCTTTCCCACCACCTATGACACAGAGAAACACCTCGGGCTGCCTCCTATTGCAACTATTTGTAGAACTTATTTCCTCAAGTTAATTGTGAATAGACTGAGGCCACGGACCATGGCTCACACCTCTCTTGCTTCCCAAAGCACCTGGGAGGGGACATTCATTGAGCACCTACTATGTGCCAGGCCCTTTCACACGCAATCTTTGATCCCTCACGATCATCTATGACGTGGGAATTGTGACTGCTTTCATTTTACAGAGGAGACAGGTTCAGAAGTTCAGGAACCTCTCAGAGGTTAGTTACACTGCTAGTGAGCTGAGCACTGGAAATGGATGCATGAGGTCCCCAAATGAAGATGGGAAAGGAAACTGGACTTGGTTTTAGAAAGAAGTGGTCCAGGCCCTAGGAATAGGGTTGTTCTCACCGCAGCAAGATGCGGTCAGCCCCAGGAAGTGACGGTGAGAATGGTGAGGAGAGAGGGGGCGAGGTAAAGTCAAGGTCTCACACCGTTGACCCCAGGAGGGGCCTTTCCCATTTGGCAGTATCTTCTTGAGCACGAGCTCAGAGTGAAACAATAGCTCAATTGTAGGGCCACTGGCTCCTTAAGTGCCTTGTGAGTTGTTTCTGGAGGGGACGGAAGGATGTTAGGGGGCCAAGTTTGCCCAGAGGCCAACTCAAAACTTCTCTCCCCCCAGCCCTGGGGTGGGGGTGGGGCCGTGTGTCCGCTGTGGAAGGGCTGGAGGGCCGTGGACTCCAGGGAGGTTTGGGGTATGCCAGTGTGGGAAGGAGGCAGAGTCCCAGTGGAGTCTTGACTCCCAGAGGAGGAGGAGGCCTTCCCTCTTGTGATTGGGGCTGAGGGTGGGTCTGCCCTTCTGTCTGTAGAGGGAGATTTTCAGACCTCAGCGTGTGTGAAGGTTACAGGGAGGCTTGTGAAAAGGGCACATTCCCAGAGAGTTTGATTCAGGGGATCTGGGTGGGGCCCAGGACCCTGAATTGTTAAGCTGTGCAAGTGATTCTGATGTAGGCAGTCTGCAGACCCCACCATAAAGAGCCCTTCTCCTCTGAGCAAAGGGAGGGGGCCCCTCAGAGGCTTCTAGGACCCAAGCCCCTTCACTGAGAGCTGCGTTCTGACTGCCCCTGAGATGGGCAACACCAGATGTGTTCAAGTGAATCACGCTTCAACCCAAGCACATATCCCCTGAGAGCATATCCTTCTCTCCCAGGCCAGCCCTGTTGTCTCCCACTCCTCGTCTACACTAGCTCTCCAACATAGCCAACCCTGCCTTCTCAGGGTCCAAATGTTCTAGGAGTCACCAGCTTTGGTATTTCCCATGGCACTTCACAGATGGCCCAGCAAGGCCCAGACTCTCTTTAAGTTATGGTATCAAAGTTGTCCTCTCAAGACCTTTAGTTATGACAAGCTGCAAGGTCTATGACTCAAAGCCCTGCCCCTGCCTTATGCTCCTGTTCCATTTTTCCAGACAAGCACCCTAAGCAGCATTTCTTGCTACAGCACAGCTATTGTTTCTAAAAGACACACGTCCAAAGAGTAGGGGAAATGTACATAAGGTAATGAAGGAGACACAGCACCCAGTTATCCTGCCCACATGCTTGTCTGTCCATCTATCTGTCCATCCACACACCCAGGCACCCACTCATCCATCTATCTATCCATCCATCCATCCATCCACCCACATGATAAGCAGGCCAGATGAGTTCTGCACTGAGCTAGGCACATGGTGAGGGATGTAGAGATGTGATTTCTTTCTCATCCTCTGAGAGTTCACCACCTAATGGGTAAACCAATAAAGACAAGGCAGGAGGTAGTCAGTGCCCCAAGAGAGGCGTGTTTAGGGATTAGATGGAAGCGGGGCCATGCCAGCCCTTACCCCCGGTCTCCAGTAGAGCCCCTTCCTTCACTCCAGCCCCGGCAGGGTTGGAGGATAGAGAGATTGGATTGTCTAAAGCCCTAGACAAAAACTTCTCCACCATTTTTCTCAAAAGACATGCAAAAACTACTGTCCAGACACCTTGGTCCTGAGCCAACCAGTGTCAACCAGAGGAGTCCCCCTTTTCCCCTGATGTCTTATGTCCAGATGCTGACCCATACCTCTGGGCTGGGATGTAAAAGCCTGAGCAGGAGGAGAGATGCAACCAGAGCAGGGAGGCCTCTCTTACCACAGGGCACACTGGTGGTCTGGGGGCCTCAGCATTCAGTCCAGGAGGGGGCAGGGCCTGCAGGGGACCCCAGCATGTTGGCTGGGAAAGTAGAGGGTAAGAATCGCAGTGTAGGTGGGGGTAGCTGGGCACTTCCAAGAGCACTGCTGGACCATTGTTGAGTGCACAGGTCGTGAAGTAGGTTTCCTAGGGAGAGTGGGAAGACCCCTGAGCAAGGCACCGAGCCACGAGGGCATCATATGTGCTGAGATGACCTCCCTGGCTTGTCCCCACTTGGGCTTCAGGAGCAGCCACTGTGAGGTGTGGGTAAGAAAACCTCTGTCTTCGATCATTGGTCCAGTTGGCAGTCCTTTCCTCCACCTGGCTCTTCTACATCAGTGATTGCCTCCCCAGCCCATTACTGGGTCCCCAAGGGGCAAACTCACCATCGTGTCTCGCCCTGGGGAGCTGGAGCGGCTGGACATAGGGGCCTGGCCCTTGCCCTTCTCCCACAGAGTGTAACGGCCACTGGGTCGGTAGGTGGGGCTGAGGACTTCAGGGACTCGTGAGGGAGGGGCCTGGCTGGGCACCTGGGGTGCACTGCCCTTGCGACCATAGTTCTCCAGGTAATCGGCCAGGTACTCGGAGCGGCTGGCTGCCTGGTAGAGCCCTTGCAGGGCACACAGCTCCTTGCGCGTGCGGGCCAGCATGGGGCTGCGGCCCAGGTTCCCGGGGTCTATCCGGTAGCTATCTGAGGTCCGGAGGCTGGAGAAATCCCGGGCCAGGTCGGATTGACTGTTCGACTTCTTCTGGGTCAGGGTTACCCCCTGGTCGCGGGCATTCACGGGCAGGTAGCTGAGGGAGCTGGTGGTCATTCCATAAGGGAATCCACTGCCCCCACTGAGTCCACTCCCTGAGGGCCGCTCGGCGATCCGAGCCTGGCTCTCCGCCCGCTTACCACCCCCGATGATGTCGGGTCTCAGCAAGGGGCGGCCTCGGTCATAGTCCAGGATGGAGGAGGGGCCGTAGGTACGGGGACGGGTGAAGAAGCTGGTTGGGGGGCCTGGCTTGAAACCAAGCTTCTCCTTCTCCAGGAAGGAGGCAGCCAGGTTGGCCCCGTAGGAAGAGGGAGTGTAGGTGCCATAGCCTGATTTGGAGTAAGGGGCATCTGTGTAGCGGGCCGATTCTGTGTAGCGCTTCAGGGTGGAGGAGAGCTGGGACATCCTTCAGGGCGGCACTCAGTGGGGACTGGGAGCCTCATGGGCTGAAAGACAAAGAAAGCTGTTGTCAAAGAGCCCTGCTGGGGGTCAGGCTCTCACTGCACCTGCTCTCCATCACCAGCTGGCCAGACGTTAGATCTTGCCCGGGGACCCTGTGGTCTGCTTCCATGAGAAGCCCACTGCTGGAAGACACACTTCCTGTGTGTGTGTGCACATACATGCACGCGGGTCTGCACGCACCTGTGCATTCAGACCTCAGGGAAAGCACAAGAAACCATGGGGGGCTGTCACTCTCAGCAAGTCCTGCCACCCCGAGTGGTCCTGTTGAAGACTCTGGCATGAGAGCAGGGACGGCCCTACCTCTGCAGCCCTTCAAGCAACAAGCATTCCAGCCCAGATCCCATCCGCTCCCTTTCCTTAGCTTCTGCAGATCCTCCTGCGATGGCGGGATGCCGCCACCCTCCCCTCCTGGATCGAAAGCACCGGACATTCTAAGAGTCTAGGCTAATCCTCTCCTTTCTGACCTATGGGACGAGCTGGAGTCTTTTGGGGATCCTGTGCTGTCTGGAGCTGGCACGACCTGGGGATCGTTTAGCCAGATCCCTGATGAGGAAAAGGAGGCTCATGAGGGGACTAAAGGGGGCTGGGGGTGAGTAGCTGAGAGGGCGCTTGACCTTGGTCTCCAGACCCAATCCCGGAGTTCTTCCCTGGACAGGGTCACCTGCTGCGGTAGGGGATCCTCGTGGGGCAGAGCCCAACCTCCTCTGTGATCTCAGCCTTCTGTCCTATAAGTGGAGTTAGGGCCTTGTGGCCTCCCAGGGGTTCCCCTACCAGCACCCATCCTGAACTGCTCTTGGTGATAATGACTTGTGCAAAGGGGGCCCCCTAGAGGCTAAAATCCTTCACTGCAGGTAGCGCTCCCTGTCCCCACCCCCAGTCCTGGCAGCTGGGATGGGTCTGGTAAAGGAACAAAGAATCTCTGAATTGGGGAGTTTTGAGGGCCATGAAGGATCATCCATCATAACTTCTCTGTTGTACAAAGAGGAAAAGTGCCACTGACTAGGCCGAGGTCACACACTAGCAAAGCCAGGATTAGAATGTCTCTCAGATTTCCAGCCCGGTTCTCCTTCCACTGTATCTGGATTCACCCCTCTCCCCCAATTTAGGCTCCCATGGGGGCCCCTAGAGACCACCCTCCATCACCCTAAGTCTGCAGGCTTTATCTACAATGAAGCTGGAGGGGGAGGATATAGCTCAGTGGTAGAGAGCGTGCTTAGCATGCACGAGGTCCTGGGTTCAATCCCTAGTATCTCCTTCAAAATAAGTAGATAAATACAATGGAGCTGGAGGGCACAGGAGCTCAGACAGAAGGGCAGGTCGGATCAGGTCCCTGTCCTTGAGAGTCAGCAGGGGTTCCTGGGGGGCTTCTGGGGTAGTGGGGGGCGGTGCAGAGCCATCCAGGACTCTCAGAGCAGCATGGTAGGGGCCAGTTTGGACGTGCCCTGGGGCTGACAAGCTGGGTGATTTTGCCCTAGTCATTTAACCTCTCTGAGCCCCAATTTCCTCACCTGTAAAATCAGTATAATAATCATCATTAAGACTCCTACCACACAGGGATGTTGCGAGGAGCAAATGAGAGAACACCATGTGAAAGCTCCCAACAGTGAAGGGGGTTATTATCTCCTCCCCCAGCCCCTGCCAGGCAGCCTGGCTCCTCCCTTCATAGGCCTATAATAATGTCAGGGCTGGCTGTCTCCTGGCCTGGCCGGCCTCTGACCTCAGCCCCAGGCGCCAGGCTTCTGCCTGCAGCCCCCATGAGATAAGTGGATGAGCAGGCAGTGGGCAGAATCTAGCTGTTCAGCAGTCAGTGGCTCAGGCAGCCCATAGCCTACCCTCAGCCCGCAGCCCAGCCCATTAGGGCAGAGAGAAGCTGATGCCAAGCCCCAAATGCTGAGGGCTTGGCAGAGAGCTCCAGAAACTCAGTCCATGTATGGCGTGGGATAGGTGCAGGGGTGGGAGATTGGCAGGTGGCAACTTCCAGAACAGAACTTCTAGACACTGCCAGAGACTTCCAGCCATTTTCAGTCCAGACTGGCATTGCAAAGGCCTGGCCTGGAGTTACTGCCTGCCTTTCCCACCTGGGGACCTCTTACCCTTCGTGGGTACTTCCTTGCCCACTGTGCTCCCACCTCCAGCACATCATTCATCCCTTTCTAGGTAAAAGTGAACTGGAGAAAGACCTCCAGCAGGATTAGGGAGAAACCACAAACTTTCCTCCCATTTGCTTAGCTTTCTGGGGGCCAGAGAAGGAGGAGAATGAAGGCTGAGGGAGGCCTGGGGGAGAGACAGAAGGAGGCACAGGGGCAGGGGCGTGGGACCAGTCCTGCTCTATTTCACTTTGGAGAGCTCCATCAATAATTCAAAGTCAAAGAGACTCCAGGTCTCAGGAGCTGGGCTCTGGAACACCCAGCAGCCAATCAGATACGACTGCCCCTCTTCCAGGGCCTGAGCTCCTGCCTCCTCCCCACTGGTCTCTCTCCCCCTCCCCCACACGAAGGTTCCCAGGGAATTGGTATTCTGCGGGCAGTGCCCCAAGCTTGTGACCTCTCCTGGCCCTGCTGACGCAGAAGTGCTCGGGCCAAACAAGGTACAGCATACAGGGACAGTCGGCCCTTGGATGGCCCACAAGTAGTCCTGGGAAGGTTTGGGGGCTGGAGGTGCAGTCACACCTTCCAGCCCCCAGAATCCCAGGAGGGCTGGCTCCTCATTCTGGCTCTCCTGTCTGCTCCAATCTGGCAGGCGACTGACAGATCTCCCCCTCCTGCCCCCTATGGTGGTCCTGCCATCACTAACAGCCCCCTGGAAGCTGCCCTGTCTGGGGAAAGGTCCCTATTCAGGCCTTGAGCATGCCTCTCCCCTCCCCCACCCCCCAGTTTCACTCTTGAGGAAAGTGCCAGCACCTTTCAGGTGAGCAGACGGCTTGGGCTGGCACCCCTTGCATTACCTGGCACAGTTGTCCCTGGAGGCTGCAGAAGGCACCCTGGGTGGGAGAGCGGGCTGGGGCCCTGGCTATAGCCTTGCTGCGCAAGACAGGGACAGGACGGGCACTCACATGGCCGCGAGTCTCCTTGTTGCCACAGGAACGGCCTGAACTGAATGGCCCTTTCATGGGGCAGTGGGAGGCCAGCCGATTGGCTGTGATCCCCCGTCCCCCTCCCTGCCCAGCGTGGGGCCCCTGCTGCCCAACTCCTTTCACTGTTTACCCGGGAGCTGGCAAGTACAGGCATGTGGCTCCAGGCAGCGTCTCCCCAGGTGCCCGCCACCTCGGACAGTCTGCCCGCCAGCCTCCTCCTCGTGCCATCTCACTGAGGGCCTTGGCTCTGCCCCGCTCTGCCAGACTTCCCTCTCCCTTTGCTCAGTTTCCCCCTCTTGGGAGGTGTGGCTGCATTCCTTTCCCTAGAAGGACTAGTGAGCCAGGTGGCCGTCATCCCCGCCAGCAGGTACTGAGTGCCTCTGGACCTGGCATTGTGCTGAGTGCTTCTCATTTCTCAGCAGCCGAAAGTCTTACCCTCAGACAGCCTCACTGTGCCCCTGGCGCTCTTCTAAGGATGCTTCATACAGAGTGAGGGTCAGTTTGAAGCTTTGATTCTTTGGGAAGAATCAAAGCCTCGAACTTACAAACGTCATTTGAAGGTTTAATTTTTTACATTAAATTGAAATTCAAAATATTGTCCTTCAAAATGAAAAAAATAGACAAGAAGTTTAAATAATGAAACATTCAAATGAAGTATTCAGCATTCATATTTCTGAAGTTATTAAAGCTTAAAGTGCACTAAGACTTCTGGGACACCAGTGTATTAATTCACTTAATCCTCACGATTGCTTTAAGCAACAGGTGCTATTATTATGCCTACTTGCAGGTAAGGAAACTAGCGTTCAGGGAAGTGATGTGGATTTCCCAAGGTCACACTGGGAGTGGTGGTAGAGCTGGACAGGGATCTCCACCTGTGCTCTGTCTGCTCATAGCTACCCTGAAGTCAGGCCCCCACTTCACACTTCCCTGGCCTCTCCCTCAGCTGGCATAGGGTCTGGGGAGATCCAGGCATTCCCTGTTTAGGCAATAGCATGGCAGGTACAGACTCCCACAGGAGCTGCCCTTTGAGTTTCCACTGCAGGGGAATGAAAGCGAAGCCAGGCGCAACCTGAGCCCCAGTATGATGCTGATCAGCTGTGAGATGGTCCCGGGGGCCTCCATTTCACCCGTGGTGCCAAGCTCCTGCGCGTCCCCTGGCCCTAGCATCTGGCCCCAGCCAGGGTCTTTGGCCCAAGGCCTGCTTATGGACATTCCCCCCAGCCTCCTACCCTTGATGCAGCTCGGCCTACTCCCCAAGGTACCCAGGCTAGGTGAGCCAGGGATTAAAATGAATCCCTGGGGTAGCTGGGCCCCTTACGTCAGCCACTGTCATTTCCTGTTGCTCACGTGAAGGGCTCCCTAACCTGCCCAGCAAGGGGAGGGACTGCTCCCCAGGAATCCCAGGCACTCCTGGCCCCCAGGGTAGTGGATGGGTAATGCCCTAAACCCCAGCAGCTTTCATGGCCCCTCTCTGCCCAGATCCATTCTGCTTTCTGGGGTGAAGGCATGCCAGCTTTTGTGGCCTCACCATGGCCTGGATAGAAAGCCCCTGACTGGGTTTCAGAGGTACACCTAGATGGGGTTCAGTCCCTTCCCTCCTACCCAGGTGTCCGGGATGGGTGAGTGGGGGAGTCCCAGCCAGTCGGACCAGGTGCTTGGGAACCTCCACAGTGGTGACCTCAGAGCTTCCCAAAGCTGCTTGCTAACAACATCGGAATGAGGCACTGGGATGGTTGACCTTGAAGGGTAAAGTGGGCTGAGAGGGGCCCTGTCTCCCTTCTTCTACACTTTCCAGCCCACACTCCTAGCTGCTGGGGCCCTGTCCAGACACAAGTGTCAACTCCTGGGTCGAGGGGTGTCCTGGAAGAAGTGGAGGATGCAGGCAGAGTGGAGGGTTCGGGTGGGGCATATCTGTGCTCCCATAATCCAAGGGTTTTGTTTACTCCTCAGGCCTCCAGATGCCTCAGCCTGCCCCCTCCTCTTCAGCAGGTCACTGGTGGCTCTCTCTCTCAGGGGCTGGCGCCTGGTTACCCACCAGTTTAGTGCCTAATCATGCTGCATATGCCTTGGCAGGGGATCATCCAAGGGGGTGGTCCATCTCATTCTCTCTAGATCCTGGTAGTTGCCCAAGGGTTGGCAGTGGGCAAAGAGGTAAGATAAAGAGGCTGGAGACTAGAGCCAGATCCTGACTGGGGAAGTGGTGGGCTTAGGGCAGTGCCTCGATGGTGCTTCTTGATTTGGGGTTGGGATAGGGTGGGCATCTCTACACTTCCAAGAACAGGCAAAGACATGGATCCCCAGGCACTACTGGAATCCTTCCATTCTCTTTTCCAATCACCCCCTTCCAGGCACTCTTCTGGTCCCCACCAGTCCCCCAGAGGAGAGCCCCTCCCTCCATCTCCCCTAGGGCTTCTGCTTTTCTCCTCTGGGCCTCAGAGCCTTTGGTCTTGTCCAGAGCACCCACCAGTGGGGCAGCTTTTCACATGCTCCCCAAAACAGACAGTCCAGGGCCCTCTGGATAATGACCCTGTAAAGTTCAGATACCAAAGAGGGCATCTACTGACCTGTGTCCGGGGACACTGGATGGGATCTGGGGTCTTCTCCTCCCCAGCAGGGCAGGGAGCACAGTGGCAGCCCAGAGGCTGGAGCCTGACTCAGGGGCTGGGTAATCCGGAGCTCAGGTTACCGACTCCGATATATATAGTATCTTATCTGACCTCACAGAGATGGCCAGCACCACTCTCTCGCATTCCAGGCCTGGGGAGAATTAAAGGGACAGTGGCAGACCCTCCCTGGTGGTGGGCAAGTACCCCGCAAGATCATCCTACAAGGACTGTTTGAACGAAGGCATTTTGAAGTGGAACAGGAGGAGTATTCAAGGGGAAACAGAACTGGAAAGATGGTAGAGGGACAGGGGTGGAATTGAGGCAAAAATATAGAGAAGGAGGTGTCAGTCACAGACCTGGAGGAGAGGAAGAAGCCTTAGTGCTTGTCCCCCTCCTTTACTTTGGAGCTGGAGGAGACCTAGAGGCAGACAGCAGCTCGCTCAAGGGCACACAGATAGGGAGAGGCAGATGGGACCCCTCTCGGGTTTCTAGTCCAAACTGTTTTATAATGGACTCCTAGGCCTGGGCTTGTATTCTGGGTCTATCCCTTTTATTGGCTCTGAGACAGTGGGAAAATCACCTAAGCTCTCTGAACCTTATTTAGTCTGTAAAACAGGAGTAATAATAATAATAATAATAATAATAATAATAATAATAATAATAATAATAATAATGCCAATGCTATTCCTCAAGCAGTAAGGATTAAATAATATTTGTAACTTTCCTGGCACATAATAAGAGTTCAATAAATGATAATTATCACTCTATTGAATACTTCCACTTATAATTAGTGGTAGTATTTGTAGTAGCACCTCTTGGGTGAAACTTGCTACAGAGAAAAGGGCCTCGAGGCCACCCCTTGGGAGTGCTCTGTTCGAATGTCAGAGAACAGTGCCATGGTTTTCTGAGCTGGTCCACATCCCATAACTGGCAAGAACAAACGCGGCTTGCCCTATTCCCAGATGTCCAGTCCACCCATCAGAGAAGGGCCAGGCCCACTTAGGCTTCTTCCTCCTTTGTCTAGAAAAATACAGCAAGTGCCGCTTCCCCCAGGCTACCAGGAGCAATCCTGGCTGCTCCCAGGTGGTTCCACTCTACCTGTAGGAGTGCTCAGGATCCCAAGCCTAAGGAGCCGGGCTGGCTGGGCAGGGTCACGAGAGGACGGAGCAGGATTCTTAACCTCTCGGGCCTTGGTGCTCTCGTCTGCTCCCGGTCTGTTTCTCCTGTTTCTCGATGGCGCTCCCTGAGGACTGGGAGTACCCAGGATGGTGCCTCCACCCTGTCTCGGCAGAGGCTACTGACTCAGCTCAGGTCCTGATGATGCACTTCAGAGGACGCCCTCGTCCCAGGCCCTCATTCCAGTCCTCATTCCGACTCCAGTTTGGCATTATCTACAGCTTCAAAGGAGTGGTGGCTGCTCCATCCCCGGCCCAACCAGCTCTCCTTTCCTCCACTTTATGGGTGGGACTTGGGGGACCTCCTCATGCCCATGCCTGGGGAGGTGAGGCTCAGCAGAAACTCCAACTCACCCCATTCTAAAAGCAGCCAGGTCAGGAGGTGGATGTTCACTCCTTGGAGGACAGCTAGAATGGGTTGGCCAGGGCTTCCTTTGGCTGTTAAGTGTAAGTTACTTGCCTTGGAGCACCGCATGCTGCTTCTGGTTTGAGATTGGTGAGAATTTCAAAGATGCCTCTTTCTACTTTGGGATTGGTGGAAAATCTCCCCTTCTACTTAACTGCTACCCTCCCCCTCACCCCTTTGGCAAACTGACCAGAGACAGCCCCCCAGGAGCTTTGAGAGGAGAGAGTAAAGGAGCTGCGCGCACACGTGGAGAGCAGGTTGTCAGCGCCCAGGCGTCACTCCCAGGCCACATCCCACACCGGGCTCAGAGCCCTGGACCTGCCGAAGCAGTGTTTCCTTAGAACACACTGATCAGCACACAGATGGCTCTTCCCCGCACCCTGCACTGTCAGCTGGCAGGCCCCCTCACACAACTGGCACCCACAGCTGGAGATCCTCAGCGCAGCTGGCACTTGCCCTACATTTCTAGCGCCCATTCTGCCCAGGCTGTCGCTGACACCTCACTTTCTGAGCCTCAAACGGAACTGCCCTCCGCATCCCCGACTCCACAGTCTCCGACAGGTGGCACATACCTGCCTCTTCTCTGAGGATGGACGAGTGGAGCCAGGCACAAGCATGGAGCTGTGGGTGAGTCCCGGCTGATACCGGCGCAATGAGCAGCAGCTGACGCAGAGGGCTCCCTGGCCTCGGCTCCTGCCCGCCTCTCCCCCACCTCCGCCGGGGGCCCGAAGAGGACCTCCCCGGGAAATCGGCGCCACCCAGCGGGCAGCCGCTTCATTGCGCTGGGGCGGGCAAAGCCACACCCCGCGTCTCGCGTCACTGAGACGCGTCACGGCTATTGGCTTGTTCCTATTGTGGCGTAATTAGAGCCCCGCCCGGCCAGCGTCTCCCTGACGACCGATATACACAGAGAAACACGTGGAGGAAAGGCACGAGAGTTTGGAGGTGGAGCACGAAAAGAAGTGGACCTGGATATGACACGAATGGAAGGTAGTGGGAGAGTAAGGATGGGGGAGAAAGGTCAGAAGTTGAGCCCCAGGACATATATATCACCTTTCAGTTTTTAGGGAAGTCTAAAATTTCCTGCTTCTCTCACCCGGCTGGAAGAGGCCTGTTCTTCTGCCTTTTCTCTTTTCCTCTACTCTTTAAGGCACTCCCTGCTCATTTAACTAGCATGAGATTAGTGAGTGATGATGACTCCTTAAGTGGGTAAATGGAGGCACTGAGTCAGTGGAAGGGATTCTCTTGTCTTTCAAGAAAAAGCCAAAACGAAACTTGAATTTTTGCCACTCCCATTCTTTGTGTATAACCTTTCCCCCACTTCCCCATGGTGGTGAAGAAAACCACACAGCCAGGTAGGCTGGTGCCGAGGCAAATCCAGGTTTTTGATTTCATCTGGACCATCAATCCTTCCAAATGTTGTTAACTCCTTCTCTTATTCTCCGTGGCTGGTATTGCTGTCCATCACCACTCTCAAGTCCCTCCTTGTCTTCTATTTCCCAGAGAAACTGGGAAACACTGAAATTTCTGCCTACAAACATACTTGAATCCATTCTTACCTCTGTTCCAGAAGCAGTGAAAGAGGTGTTCCTCTTCTTGCCGAGTCAAATTCCTTCTGGATCTCAACTCTTTTATGTTTCTTTAGTTCTGAAAACTGGGTCAACCTCTTGGTGGGCATCAAACCAAAAGACACAACCAAGCCAAAGAGCAGGAGAAGGAAGGGTTTATTACTTGCAACAAGTAAGGAGAACACTGGGAATCTTTCTCAATGCAGTGTCTCCCCAAACAGCAAAGTTGGGGGATGTTTTATGTTAAGGTACATGCATATTCATGAAGGGGGTTGGGTGGGGTATGCATATTCATGAAGGGGCTTGAGCGCAGAATAGGATTCGAAGAATTGGGGCATAGGTTTCCAAAGTCCAAGCTTAGTTGATTGAAGTCATGAGGGTCAGAAAAGGTCAACATCAATCCTTAGGTTCTGACCAGTCTAGGGTCACAGCAGGTACCATCTTCCACCTGGATGGGGTCCTTAGTTCCTGCAGAACTCAAAGATTTGCATCAGATTGTTATGTATATCCCTTGAGGAGGAACTGGGACTCTCTTTTATCGATGATCTATTGTTTCTTGACTGCTTTTCCCTTGTTCTTGCATTTTCCCACTTCCCTTAAGATCATTAATTCCTGAGACCTGTTCAAGGGCCAGCATTGTGGCCAGCCTTAGATTACAAAATGGCTTAGGCCAAAAATGACTTCTCTTATGTCAAAAAAGCCATGCCTAGTTTTCTTTATCCAGGGACCTCCTACCCCATCTGCTTACATTAGAACATTTATTCCACCATATTTTACAGATCGCTATTAGATATGCGAGGTAGTCTTCTAGGAACTAGGGATATAGCAGTGAACAAAACAGGCAAAATCTTTGCCTTTAAGGAGCTTACGTTCTATTAGAAGTAGAAGACAATAACCAAATAAGGAAATAAGTAAAATATATAGTATCGGATGGCAGTAAGAGCTATGGAGGCAAATAAAGCAGGGAGGAGAATAGAGGTAATATAAGGTGTCATCAGAGATGGCCTCAGTGAGGTGACATTCAATGACCATTGAATGAAGGAGGTGAGGGAGTGAGCCATCTGGATATCTGAGGAAAGAATGTTCTAGGTGATGGGAACAGTAAGTGCAAATACCCTGAGATAGGTGTGCATTTGCCACTTTTGAAGAAGAGCAAGAAGACCAGTGTGGCTGGAGAGAAGAGGGAGAGACAGAGTGGAAGATGACGTCAAAGAGATGAGGGAGGGGCCTCACCTTGTAGGTCCCTAAGGCCATTAAGATGACTTTAACCTTTACTCTGAGAGAGAAGCCGCTGGGAGATTCTGAGCAGAGGAGGGACATGGATCTGATTTTTGTTTTAACAGAGTCCCTTTAGCTACTGTATGGAGAACAGATCTGAATAGAGTCAGAGTTGAAGAAGGAGACCAGTTAGGAGGTCACTGCAATCATCTGGTGAGACATGATGGTGGCTCCGGTTAGTGTGGTAGCAGGAGAGGTGGTGAGAAGCAGTTGGATTTTGGGTGTATTCTGTATATAGAGTCAACAGGGTTTCCTGATGGATTAGGTGGTGAGAGAAAAAGGGAGTAATTTTTGGCCTGAACATTAACTGAGAATATATAGGCTGTGGAAGAAGCAGATTTTGGGGTGGGGGGAGGTCAGGAGACTGATTAAATCCATATTAAATTTGATTTATGAGGGGGAGGTAATTGGGTTTCTTCATTGATTTCTGCTTGGAGGAGGTACTGGGGTTTGAACCCCTGATTTTTTGGGTGCTGAGCGTGAGCTCTACCACTTGAGCTATATACCCTTCCCCCAAACCCATATTAAGTGTGAGATGTCTATTAGGCATGTCAGGATGCCAAGAAGGAGGCTGTATGTACGCATTTGGCAAGGTCTGGTTTGGAGATATAAAGCTGAGAGTCATCAGCAGATGGATGTTATTTAAAGCCATGAGATTAGAAGAGATCACCAAGGGAGCAAATATAAATAGAAAAGAAAGATGTGCAAGGACTGAACCCTGGAGCTCTCCAACATTAAATGGTTTTAGAAATGAGTAGGAACCAGCAAAGGAAATGAAAGGAATGGCTAGTGAAGTAGGGGAAAAAAATCCAGGGGATGGTGATATGCTACAAGCCAAGAAAAGGAAACTTACCAAGGAGGAAAGATCAATTGTATCAAGTGCTGCATATGGGTTAATGAATGAAGGAATCTGAGAATTGATTTAAGAGGTTGTTGATGACCTTGACAAGAATGGTTTTGGTAGTGACAGAGTGAAAATTGGATTGTGGATGCGTTCAAGCAACAATGGGAGGAGAGGGATGGAGTGTATAGACAACTATTTGGACGAGTTTTGTGCTAAAGGAAGGAGAGAGATTGGGTAGGAGCTAAAAGGAGAAGAGAGGTCAAGATGTTATCAAACCAAACTTGGGTCCACCTGCCTGCAAGCAGTGAAGCCAATCTACTGACTTGAAGGAAAGTGCAGTGTTTATTGCAGGCACCAAACAAGGAGCACAGGCTTCTAATGCTCAAGAAATCTGAACTGCCCAATGGCTTTCAGGGAAAGTTTTTTAGAGACAGGGTGAGGGAGAGGGTTGAGTGGCGCATGATCAACTGGTGGACAGTCTTCTGATTGGTTGGTAGTGAGGCAATCCGGAGTCAGTATCATCAACCTTCTGGTTCCAACCGCTCTGAGGTCTCCGTGCTTGTGGTCAACATGCAGTTAACTTCTTCCACCTGGTGGGGGTTTCAGTATCTGCAAAATGAATCAAAAGATATGACTTAAAATATTATATAGCCCTTGAAGTGGAACTAAAGGTTTTTGACTTTGTTTAATGACTAAACTATTATTATTTTGTCTTGCTTGACAGTTTTCCTTTTTTGCTGCATTTTCTCACTTCTCTGGTTAAATTTATTCTTTGGAACTTGGGGAAGGCCTAGGAGGCTAAAGTTCTACAAACAAGAGGCAGGTGGAGGATGTGGTGGTGGGGGGTGGGCGGTCTGTCCTGAAAATGCCCCACAGGGTCCTGCTCAGTTACAAAGCAAATTTTTTTAAATGGGAAAATAACTATACATTTATATGTTGATGAGAAAGAGCCAGTGGAGAGTCAGAACTGATGATACAG